CTTCCCAGTGAATCCCAACAGTGGTTCACTGCATTCGCTGGGTGAAATCAATTGCAAAGTAGCTCCTGGACCAAAAACCTCCTTGGCTTTGAGTGATAGCAAATTTACACTCTTTCCTGTAGTTTTTCATGTTTGTCTGCTAACACTCACTAAGTAATAGCTGATTGGTAGTAAAACCGGAAATGGAGAACCAATACAGTCACAAGGAGGTTTATGCTTGTGATAGTTGGGTCACTAGGGAAAGATATGGGTCACTGACCATCTTTAGGCCAGTGCCAACAGCTGCCATCAGCTTCCAGCAACCACTTGCAACTGGCGAGGTAGTTCTTGTTTTTTCCTCATTGCATCCTGCCAAATGACCATTGACCAGCTTTGATTCTACACTGTCATTATATTTGTCATGCCCAAAATGGCTGACATGTTTATGTCAAATGGTTGGCGCTCACATGTCTGCAAAAGCTCTATATAAACAAAAGGTTTTCTGCAGCCACAGGGCTCACCCCCTGGTGGCCACTGAAAACACTGCAGGTTTAAGGGACTTTAGTGTTGGCTTCAGTTTTCAGACATAGTAGGTTTGTGCTTCGTTTATACTGTGCATGACTTTTTCCAGTAAATCATATTCGGCCAAATGGCAGAAGAAACAAAAGTTAGTATTGCCTTTTAGTTTAGACAAGTGGCTAGCGTAGAAAATTACTAGTAAATAAGGACTAAATAAAACAAATGTTATTTATATTGAGACTGTTACAAAAAAACATTTTAACGGTTCATATATCATGTAAGCTTGCCGTCTACAAGCAATACAAAGGTGGTGTTGTGAGCCAGATAGCTAAATAAAAAGCCAGTTAGCTGCACAGCATGTAGGCAAGCTAATGCTGACAGTTTTGTCACCAGATTGACTTTGTTGTCATTACAGTCTACTTTCATATGGGTATTCGATGGTTTCTTAGTTGCTGGAAAACATACCTTTTTGGAAATGCAGGTAACAAATCTGTCATTAACCCCTGATGACTTTTTTTGGTCTATATGTTGACTTTAGTTCTTGAACAGCAAACTAGACAAAATCTGTCATCTAAACTAAAAGACCCACTTTATTGCTTTTGAATCACAGCGTTCATCTGATTGCTCAAAATATTGACATTTTAAATGTTTGAAATTCATTAATGAGTTATTGTAGAAATATTAGTAAAATATTAGCAAAAATGACGATAAAACACACAGCTGCTGAGTAGATTATCAACACTGGCGATGCTGAAAATTTCAAGAGAAGTAAGATATACCACACATCAGGACAAACAGATGTTGGCAATCAGAATTCTGGAGTGCACCTTTATTCATATACAGGCTTATAATATTATAAGTAATATATTTTTTATGAAGTATTGCCTCATTTATTGCTAGTTTACAACATCTCTTTTCTTTTATCGCGACACTGTTTCAGTTGGGTGATATACAGAATTCAGTTTTTGGCTTCACACTAAGTAAACACTCCAGGAAGCATCATTGTTTGCCACTTCTCATTTCGAGGATGAAAATGGTCCTTTCAGATCATCTGTCAAACATCACTGTCTTTGATAAAAACCTCATAGTGTTCACATGGTCAGAAACTGGTCAAAACCCTCCAAAAACACGGTCACATTATCATTAAAGAACCTCTTTTCTCTTACAGCTTGACCAGCCCACTTCAAGCTGACCCTGCTCCATCTAGTAATTACAGTTAACGCAGAGAGCTTCTGAAGTGCATTACACTGACAATACAAACTGAGACAACCAGGGTTGCTTTTTAAGTGATCAATAAAAATTAAGAGTCATTGATTTTGTAGAAACCTTTACTTTTGTTATTTTTGTTCCCCTCTCTGAAGGTGTTTGGAGTAAAATCTTATATATATATATATATATATATATATATACACACACATAGACAAAGGGATATATTTTTGACGTCGATGCTGTGAAATCTCTAGGGAACACATTACTTCAAGCACAGAAAGAAAGATAAAAAGCATTTCAAACATTTAAAAGTATATTTTGTTATGAACATACATAAAGAGTACAAGTACCCAAATGGTAGTTAAACATCTGTCAACAAAACTTTCTTTCTACAGAAACTCAATTTTATATTGCCATGTATCAGGGGAGCTATTCATAAACCACATTTACTTATCAGCTTAGCCAATCAAACATGAATGTTTACATCATCATATTCACACAACAGCCAAGGCGTTAATCGTCCTCCATGACCTCAGGGAACCCTGAAGTGAACGTGGCAGTCGTAACATGTTGCCATTTTAACATATTTAGAAACAACATAAAACATCATATAAATGACTGCAGTTAAACAATAAAGCCTCTTAAGTATCCCTGTGGAGATGCAAGCAGAATGAGGTGTGTGATCGGTGCTGGTTGTCTGTTTGTCAGTAAGATTACGTAAAAACGACCAAGCTAAATTTCATGAAACTTACAGAAGAGGTGGAGCATAGCCAAAGGAAGAAACCATAAAATGTTGGCACTGCTTCAGTTCACTTTCTTTAAAGTGGACTTGGTAGAGGATGTGCTCTGCACATCCCTTCATTGTTCAAATGTGTAAGTAAGCATAAGAATAGGTATCTGACTACCGATGCTTTTCAGTCTTTTCCACAACGAGTACAGTACTGCAGAGTCCCTTAAATTCAAGTGTTTTTGTCTGTCATTCAGTTTGATTAAATTACCTCAGAATTGCTGAGATTCAATCAAACTTTAATATTGTCTCTAAACTACTGCCAATTGGGCCAGTAACATTATATTTAATTTCCTGTGGTATTTCTCAGCCTAAAAATGTCAGTGCAGGTGACAAACATGGCAGCAGATCAACAGAAACCATCAGTCAGGGATAAAAAAAAAGTCAAGAAAGAGCTGCCTCTCTAGTTTACTAAGTAGCACTGTGATGCTGGGAAACATGTCATCAGTACTAAGTTTAAGTGTTGGAAGTAAAACTGTTATTCTAAGGAATGAGGGGCTTTCTCAGCACCAAATCATGGGTTCACTGCAAGGCGCTGTAAAAATACTGTGTAGATTATTGGATCATTTTCTATCGTTGGTATCGGTGGAGGAGAAGCATCACAAAACCCCTTCTTTGGAGGAGACCAGTGCCAAATGCTTGAGGTGAACAAAGCTATATCAGCATGTTTCTTTTCTGACAGGCAATAGAAAGGTGTCCAAGAAAGAGCTGGAGAATTACTATCCTGCAGGGTATGAGTGAAACTTTGTGGTGGGACTGTTTAAGTCTGGGGGTATTTTCTCAGTGCTTTGCTTAGACATTTTTACAAAGTCTCCTTCATCACGATCAAGTGGTCTATTCTATGATGACATCCTCCGCCTTCTGCTTTGCATTACTGCAAAACATGATTCATATTAGTGCAAATATAAGATACCCCCAAAACAGTTTTAATACAACTTGAAGAGTAGTTGTTAACCTCACTGAACTATTTCTGGAGGAAATCATGTTTGTTAGAATATCCCCAAAATGTATGGCGTCACTTAAGTCTGTCATTAAGCAGAAGGACTTCATCTTTTCACTGAAACTTTTTAACTCACATAATAATAATACTTTTGTACCCCAACTGTATATTTTTATGAACAGTATTCACTTATTTGCTAAAGCGCTGAACATGCACTCTCTAAAAGTATGAATAGAAATCTTCTGGGTCTAATTATATGCTTTAAACTCTAAATAGACCTTAAATTTCTGTAGAGCAGCATTTCCTATATCCTATAGGATCACAAATAGATTTTTTTTCCCATTCTGATAATGCAAAAAAAAGTATACCACTTAAACCATTTTGAGAAAAATTAAGAGAATTTCTACATGACTAATTATTACCACTGCAGACGTCATTAAACTCCTTACGTTGCAATCAACTCTTATACATGGAAGTGTGAAATCACTTCCATGTATAAGAGCTGATTGATGAAGTGGCCTCAAAGCTGTGACCTTTATATCCAAACGAAGAAATTCAGTTAATTAGCCGGTATTCGCTGTTTTTTTTTCTTTTTTTTTTTCTTGAATTAATGCGCTAAATCTACATTTTCCTGTGAGAAAGGAGGTCTGCTGGTCCAGCGTGCAGCATCACATCCTGTCTGACTAAACTGGGTGTAAACTCCGAGTCGAGGCGGGGAGGAACGGCAGAACTGTGAGACTGTATGGGAGGGTCACTAGAGCCACTGGTTTGTCCTGCAGAGTGAATGAAGTTGGATTATTATTATTATTTTGTGTTGAATGCAGAAAAACAGAAGGAAACCCTTGGGAGAACAAAAGAAACATGGTCCCCGGAATTATTTGGATATTTTACCTGTGATGTTTTGGAAAAACTTTCATCGGACGATGTTTTCTCTGCTTTTGGGAGGTTTTCTATGTATGAAGTATATGTTTTTATGTTCCCATAGGCCCTCTCGCCTCATTTTACTGCCTCCAATATTTATACCGTAGCTGGTAATTAACATAATCTTGCATTCGTGTTAATTTCGAGGAATGAAGGACAACACGAAGTCCGGATTGCCACCCAAACGCAGATTTTTTGGCAGTTTATGAATGCAGCTGTAATCACGCAGGGGAGCCTCAAGTACTTAAATGGGTCCATCATGAGAAAGAGACAATCAAGCTCCTTTATGTCTCAAGATCAGCTGCAGTTTCGGCACATTGTCTGTTATGAATAGACCGATCTCCAATTGAGCCTCTTCACTTTGAGATTTTTCGATTTTCGATTATACGGCTATTGAAATTAGGATGTGCCGCTTTTTTCTCTCTCTTAGCTTGGTGGCTTGGTTGCCTTTTTTTTGATTGACAGATGAAATTGACACTCGGGTTGCCTCTTATCAAGCGAAGCATTTCAATCTACCGCTAATTGCAGATATAGTGCCATCCTTTCTTTTCACTGCGTTTGATTGCATGGGAATACAGCCTCCTATCCTGCACAAGAGGAATGATCGATCATATATAGTTTTTCCCCTCCTAATTGCATCAAAATTTCTTTTGTTGCCAGGGTTTAAATGCAGGAGAAACTGTTATTCCTTGTTTTGGACCGGATATAGTGTGGGTTGGGGCAGAGATGCGTAATGCGCAGAGCAAGCTCCATCTCTTCTCCAAATAGGCAGCCTTCAAGATCCGAAAATGGTGAGTCACAAACATCTGGACGAGTTTGGTTTTCAACCTTTTCATTTCTTTGTCTTTCATTCACTCTCCACATTTTATTTATTTATTTTCGTAACGGGATAGAGTTAATTTGGCGGAAGCGCAGGTTTAATCGAGAGGAGATGGAGCGTAAAGACGCCAAAACTCAGTTTATTCACTTTCCTTTTGCGGTTGGAGTTCACACATTGCAACGGTTCTGGGCTGAGATACAGATTCATGTAATTTTATGAAACTTGAAATTGCATGTTGTATACAACATATACGGGTAAATTATTAGTAAATATACACAGAAATAGTTAGCACTCACTAGCTACCAGATCGAGTTTTTTGGGGGGGTTTTTTTGTTTTTTTTTTATATCAATGTTTTTTCCTGGACTGGATCTTCATGTTGGCACCACGTCTCTGGTTAGGATTTACATATTTCACTGACGTTTTATTTTATTTTTAAATCTACAAGATGCAATGAAATTGTATTTGCTATAAAAGTGATTTATTTTATTTTATTTAAATTTATTTTATTTTATTTTGTTGTCTTTGCGCAGTCTAAATCGGAGGTGAAGAAGGAGTCTGGGGAGTCCAGCCCGTCGGAGGCCGCCTGCCTCTGCCCTCCTCCGGCGGCAAAGAACCAGTGCGCGAGCTGCGGCATGGAGATCCAAGACCGCTACCTACTGAAGGTGCGAAATTAACCCATAATAAATCCTACAGTGAGAAGTAAGATTTGTTTTGTTTTTGTTTTCTTTATTTAAAGCGTAAGCTTCTCTTCACATCCCTGTCTTCAGGAAATCACTGATAATGACAGAAATGATCATCCTGCAAACGTTTCCTGAGGTTGCTGTCCATTTTTCTTCATGTCTGCTTTCTTTTCGAAAAAAATCCCAGTTAGTGTAGAATTCCACAGAAGACTGTACAGAACTGGTCAAATGCTTTTAGTTTTAGTTCTTTCTAACGCTGTTTAATTTCTAGTTGAGCATCTCGATTAAGAGAGCTATCGGAGTGTGATATGTCAGTGTGTGTGTGTGTGTGTGTGTGTGTGTGTGTGTGTGTGTGTGTGTGTGTGTGTGTGTGTGTGTGTGTGTGTGTTTGAATCTACTCAGGTCAACAACCTGAACTGGCACCTGGGGTGTCTGGAGTGTTCAGTGTGCAGAGCGTCTCTGCGCCAACACAGCAGCTGCTACGTTAAAAACAAAGAAATCTACTGCAAGCTCGATTATTTCAGGTAAGAGCTCTGATGTTTTACAACGACTGTAGTTTTCCAAAGCTGCCTGTAAGAGTCTTATAAGATTTACTTAACATTTTAATATTTTTCTTAACATTTTCTTACTATTTTTTCTTAGAGCTTTTTCGACCGTTAAAAAAAATAAAAACTCCGATATGTAATTTGATAACAGTCACAGCACTGAAATGTGTTTATTTTTCTATAAGGCCCGAACTGAAACTTATTAATCATCAGTTATCGTTTATATGGGATTTATATTAAATTTGGCAATTATTGAAGAATGAAGTATGATAATAAAATAAAATTTAGTGAAGTGTAGGTCGCTTTTTTGCCTGGTCGATGAAAATCATTCAGAAAAATTAATACGACGATTTAACTGAGAATATCCAAAAACGTGTATTATTAATGAACAACACGGGGCAATATTTCCTCTTTACGGAAAAGAATACACAAATGAAAAATGTTTATTTCACTAAAAGCATAATGCTGATACAGATTATTTATCTTGCCATTTTTAACAGTACCCGCCTGTCTTATCATATCAATAGAAATCTACACAGCCAGACTCGTTGGGCATCTACATATCTTCAATTATTTGGGGAAAAAATACAAAAAATAATCTTTTAAAATGCTCAAAGGGTGGAAAGTTTTCCCTAAATGTTTTACATTTAATCCTTCATTTAATAGAGTAGAAAAAACTTGCCATAAAACATTATTGTGCTTATGTGATAAATTATTGTACCTGAATTAAATTAAGTTCTAGCTGTTTTTACAGCTCATTGATCTTTGCTCTCCAAGTTGATCTTTTGGTCTCACTATGATTTGGCTTCAAAGTCATAATTGGAAAAACAAAAACAAAAACAGAATAAATTACCAGTAAAACAATGTTTTTAAAATAACTTCTTGTGTTTCTATCAGCTTACTCTCATAAAACCTAATGACCAAAAGCCTCCAGAGGAAAGAGCTTGATTACCAGCCGGCTGCCCTAAATGTCCCTTTCCATTTCAGTTAGTTTTGGCCTTTTGACTATTTGAAAATTTGATAGAAAACTGGAGAAATGTGCAAAATCAACAGTTTTACTGGCTAATTTTGTGGTTCTTTCTAATGGAAGCAGTGGCTATTACTTTAATTTGAACTTCTTTTTATTGACTTTTTTAAAAATTCAATCATCTTGAGATGTAGCAGTCCATTGCCACTGCCTGCTCTCCCACATTCTCTTACCCAGCATCTCACACAAATCACTCAACGATAAAGAGGACACTTATTATCTTACACTCACTTATTCTTCAGTCCAGTTACTATAAACCGTGTGACTCACAGAAATCTCTGCGTAGGACATTTAGTTTCCAGTGGTGGGAGGAATGCCTCCACCTTTCACTTTTCACGGTTCCAGTTTTCCAAAATCTCACTGGCTTTTCTTTCTGCACCAGAAATGTTCATACACTCAGTGAGATCATGTTGAATCACTGTTTTTGTCCCAGATTGTACCTTTCAGGCCAAATGCAGACTGTATTTGGTGGAGAAGCAATTTGTATTGTGTGTGCAATGTTTAATTACCCCAAACAGAGATGTTGGATCATGCTAAGATAAGTCATGTTCAAAACCTAAAGCTTTATTGAGAGCAGATGATGCAAGATCATATCAGTAATACGACTCCTCTGCACAGATGTTACACAAAACAGTAAAACTAATTATTTCATATTTTGCTGTTCTATTTAGTCCAACAGTTTTTTTAGTCTTTCTGTGTGTTAAAAAATTTAACAAATATATAATAGTTTGGTTGGACACCAGAATATCCCTTCTTGAACTCTGTAACCTGCAGCCAGCCTTCACCTGCTCGTGCCTTTCTTCTTCACAGTAGGTTCGGCACTAAGTGCGCCCAGTGTGGCCGACAGGTGTACGCCAGTGACTGGGTGCGAAGGGCTCGGGGCAGCGTGTACCACCTGGCCTGTTTCGCCTGTTTCTCCTGCAAGAGGCAGCTGTCGACCGGGGAGGAGTTCGGCCTGGTGGAGGGCAGGGTGCTTTGCCGCAGCCACTACGACATCATGCTGGACAATCTACGCAGAGCTGCAGAGAACGGTAACCCAACCAGTGAGAGTTAATCTCACAGACACCGAAGATGAATATCTGAGGTTGGATTACCAGCTAAAAACTCTGGGGGGAAAGTACCTGTTAGTATTTAGGCACACTAGAAATGCAGATGTTTGATGACTGATGAATGGCAAAACTTTAATCATACATGATGTCCACGTGTGCAATTCTGAGGGATTTGTTTTTTGTTAATGAAACATTTTTGTGGTTTTTGACTGTTGGTCAAACACAACAACATATAAGAAGATTTTTATTCGTTCTGCACGGCTTAATGATGGACCTTTTCTGACTTTTTGTAAACTAAACAATCTGTAATTAGAGAGAAAAATCAGTCTTACTGATAGTTAGTCATCATCGATCCATTTGTGGAATAAGAACACACAGGTCTTTTGGAGTGTTAATGGGTCCAAACATCGTTAAGAATCGGGCTGCAAGACTGGAGAACCAACATAGCTGACATGCTGGTTCAGTGGTTCAGATTTCGAACATATTTGTCATTAATTAAATAATTTGGAGTAAACCAAGTGGGCTTTTGAGGCCCCTATGCAGTTATGACTTCACTTGTTTTGTAACCCAGCCTTGGTTTAAGCCTAAGTAACAGAAGGAGTAGTTCAAGCTCTAAAGCTCTTCTACTTCAGTTGCTCTCAAGCTATTCAGCCCCTTTTAACAGTGATATAATGCAAATAATCAGTTGGAAGGAACGTTTTTCTTGATGTTTTTGGATTTTGGATGCACCATTTTAACTGGTGTAAAGTTTCCGAATTGCTTTTGCTTTACTTTGACTATCTAAATTCCCTCCTGTTAATTTGTTGGACTAAAATTAAGTTGCGAGGGTCTGAAAACAGAGCGAGTGTAGAGGTTAAGAGAGCCTGGAAAGAAGGAAGAGACTTTACATGAAAGACAAATAGAGGAATAATTCCTTCATTTCTCACTCTGCTGTGCTCTCAGTGATTCAAACGTATCCCATAGTGGTGTAAATACTTTGGATAGTGCGGCTGCTGGCAAGAAAACATTTTAATTATGTTACTGAGTAAATCTTCCATTTTGTGACACTGTAATAAGATTTTCTTTTCCTTTAACTCGCTTTGTGTAACTTTGCACTCTGATGACTGCATTTTAATTAGTGAATGATCACTGTGTCTATCTTAAGGCACAGGACTGACTCTGGAAGGAGCGCTACCTTCTGATCAGGACTGCCAACCAAAACCAGCCAAGAGGGCACGGACATCATTCACTGCAGAGCAGCTGCAGGTTAGCACCATTCTAATACGTGTGTGTCTACAGCACAGTGTTACTTGGCATTTCATGCCCTCTGTGTCTGGCTTTGTGTGTTTGCAGGTGATGCAGACTCAGTTTGCCCAGGACAACAACCCCGATGCTCAGACGCTGCAGAAACTGGCAGAAATGACGGGACTGAGCAGGCGAGTCATACAGGTAGGCAATGGTCAAATCTGGTGATACACTATATAGTTCAAGTTCTACTTTATATCAAACTAAAAAAAAAGTTTTCGTGTAATAATAGCATGATCAGAAGGATGGTTTTTCTTTTTCAGGCTCCTGGAAACTGGTTATTAATCACACTTAATAACACAAAGTTGTGATTGTAACTTGATCTTTTGGGATCATAAGTTAAAGAAACTGAGGAATCAGGGTATAATATTATCTGTTTAGTATCCAGAGTTTTAAAAGGGTGATCCCATTATTCTTACATTAAAACTTCACATGCTAACAGACTCATACCTCACAATACTTTTCTTGCAATTTGCTCTGATGATGCTTTGTCTTATTATGATTTAATTTTTATCCAAAAGTTTTTGATTTTAAGGGTTTCCAAAAGAAAAAGCAGACATCTTTGAGAAAGCTTTCCTTTCTTTTCACTGTTAGTGCTTTAAAAACATGACCCCTCTGGGAATGATTCCATTTCAACTCTAAGACCAATAAAACACAATTACAATTGTTGTACTTCACAGAGAAGCCAGTTTAAACACTAACACCATTAAGCTGCAGACTAAAACACTCACACATCAAACTGGAGTTATCACCTGGCTTAGGTGAAGAAACTAATGGGGTGTGGTGAGGGGAATCTGAACCCGGGACCTGCTCGGTGTTGTTGTAGTGTTTGATCATATCCACCTGCTTTTTGCACGATCACATTATCAGTAATATTTTTTACAGGTTTGGTTTCAGAACTGCCGGGCGCGACACAAAAAGCAGCCGCCTCAGAGCAGCTTCTCTCAAAGCGCTCCGCTGTCCAGAATGCCCCCGTCGCTGCCAGAAGATATCCACTATTCACCGTTCAGCAGCCCAGACCGACCACACCTGCTGGCCCTGCATGGCTACCTGGACAGTGAGTGTCAAGTCTTTAATCGTCTGTTAGTGCCATTTAATGCAGGGCCCTTTTTTCCACTGCTGGCAGGTGAACGTTCAGCTTTCAATGCTTAAATGTGACATTTTACCTCAATCTCTCTCTCTTATATCATAAACTATGCACAGGTGGAAGCCAATTTACTCAAGTCCAGCGCTTAAGTAGGAACTTGAAGCATGTAAGGAGGCTACTTCGTGCTTCCTTTAAGGAAGGAAAGTCATGAAAGATGTAATTATTTTACATGTGAAACAGATTGTGCATTAAAAATAGCAGTTTGCAGTGTTAAACCACCAGTAGTAGTTTAACAGTGATTATCATTAAATTATGTTGCATAGAGGAAGCTGTGTCACGTTATGGATCGATAATATTTGTGTCTCATTAAGTTCAGTTAACACTATTTTTAATGCAGGACTTAATTTTAACTATTACTTATTAGTGATTAGTGCAGTGATTAGTGCAGTGGATTGTTAAATGTGTCCATGTTTGATAAATAATAAGAATAAAAAGAAGAATATTTCTAGTGGTTTACGCAATCACCCACACACAAACAATTCCTGGTCTGAGACCTGGAGGAGACACAAATCACTCTGGGATCGTGCCAAATGAAATATGGGGAGCCATCCACTCTGGTGACCTCTTGTGAATAATGGCAAATTTACATGAGAGATAAACAGTGCTTTATTCTGGGGTGAAAGCTGAAAATTTCATAGAGTGTTGAAGCTCTGAGGGAAGCTTTAAAGTAATATGATGGAAACATTTGACTGCTAACATGGAAATTTGAAGGACTGTGAAGGAGGGATCCCCTGTCTGTTTCGTTTGTTTTTTCTCATCAGAATTTTGGTTTGATTTCTGGCAACAAAACAGAAAAATGTATTCATCAGACTTTCAGTCATTGCTGGTAAATTCCACTTGTGTTCATGGTACTTAAATGTTCACTGGAATCGCTTTGCACACAAGTTTTAAACTAGCTGAGCAAAAAACAAAAGAAAAACAACTTTCTGTTCAAGCACCATGAAATAATATGTGGCTTAGAATATTGTTTAAACATTTGTACTAGAAAATAAGTTAAAAGAGAAAACTGTGCTAGTTTTTTAGCATTGTAAAGTAAAGAAAGTTTTTAGCCTGCACATCTTTGTGGTCACAAAGATTACTACATAAAAAATAACAAGGAGCCTAATTTATTTCGTGTTCAACTGATTTTTAATATGTATTACTCTATATGTGCACTGAACTTAAAGTGAATGTTAAAAAACACTAGCTATAAATATTTGCACCCAAAACAGCTTCGCATTTTAAAACAATGACAGACTTAAATGTTTGTTTTGAGTAAAAATTAAAAAAAAATCTTTCTGATTTTGAAATTTCTTTATATTTGCATATGTAAAATAGAAAACAATAGCAATAATAAAGAAATAAAGTTTAGAAATAATAACATTTAGGAATGGTGATGTAAAAACTGGATGCCAAAACTCAAGTCTAGAAACATGTTGTTTACAAAAGTGTAGGTTGGGAGAAGAAAGCTATAAATAACTAATCACTCCTGGGAGGATTTTACAGTTTAAACATCCACCCACCTCATCTCCACCCAGTCCAGGTTCTTCAGACTGACCACAGGACAAATTTGCTGGTGGGTGGAAGTTATTTGTGAACAGCTTGTGCAGAACGTTGCTGGTGACAAAACCAGCAACATTCACTGTACACTATGTAGGTATCAGCAAGTATTTCATAGGTACAGATTACATCCAGTGAAGTTACACTTTTATAAAAATGCTGTAATAGTACAAGGTGTGCTTTATGGGTTTTAACACCCTATATGGGAATATTTTGTGATTTTGAAGTATTCACATTCACTCTGAGCCTTCTTCTCTGTGGTTTATCTCATTATTTTGATGCTTTAAGTATTTATGTCAGTCATCAGTAGCATATTTCTTCATCTTAATTATAATAACGTGGTCCTGTTGCTTGCCAAGCTCATGTTGTTTCTCTTTCTTTGTGCAGCTCATCCCTTCTCTGTCCTCGCTGCTCCGGGCCACTTGACCCACCCGTCCATCTCTTTACCACAGCTTCCCATCAGCCGCTGACTTGCTGTGTCTACTTTTCCACCGTCGACACTCTGATGATGTTGTGGAGGGAAAAAAATCCTTTGGGACGCCCTGTCAGCAATTTGCTCCGTTTGGAAGTCAAGTCCTCGGGTGACGGCAGGACCGCGTTTTTTAATCAGTCGGGTTTTTCATTGTGAGACTGCTGAGTAAACTGTGGTGAAGCCTTCAGGCTAACACAGGAGTAACTTTTTAATTTTGTCTTGTTTTTTTTTTATATAATGCAGAAGACCACTTTTATTTTATTTTCCTTTTTTTTCCACAGGACATGAAACATTGCATCAAGTTGGAAATGGTTTTCACTTTCAAACAAGATATTTTAATTGCTCCAACATGAGCTTAAAGAAAAGAAGAAAAGAGGAGTGGTTGTAGCAGTGTTACAGTAAAACCTCAGCATTTTTCTTTTTTACATTTTGTACTGGTGATGAGCACATTTGCAGCTTTATTGTTGTTTGTTGTTGTATTGTTGTCAGAAAATGGAAACTCTTATTTATTCAGAGCAAAACTTCACTTTTAAAAACGCACTTTTGAATGTGTCTTGAAATGGAAAAATTCAGTTACTGTACATTGTAAATACGGTCATGGTTTAATAAAATGTATCAGATCCCTTATGAAGGTTTTAGTGTTTGAATAATAGACAATCAGGCTGACTTGAAGAGCAAGGAGTAAAGTGTTTATACGTGTGTGTGTGTGTGTGTGTGTGTGTGTGTGTGTGTGTGTGTGTGTGTGTGTGTGTGTGTGGTTGAAAATGCAACAGCTTCTCGAAGATGGAGTAGAAAAATGTGATGTTGTATGAGGACACTATTTTTACACTCAAAACCACTAAATCTAAAGGTCACCTGTCAGAGGCTAAGTACCTAAAGTAACCTGTTATTAAGAGCAATATCCCACGACAAACCTGCACATCATCTCCAATTTACACGCTGTACTTTACAGGAATTGTGATCAATCCCACTGCGAAAACGATTATAACCGTTTTCACTCAAAGCGTGGCCATCGATTGGGCAGTTTGTCGGCTTTTATGAGCTCTTCTAGCACAGATTATCTACAGCTGTTATACTGATTGACAGCACTTAAGGCGCCGTGATTGGCAAAGAGTGAATGGGATACTTCGAGCTAAAGCATATCGTTACATGTGTATTTTTCCAAACCGGATCAATGTGGGGGCTTTTTAACAGCAAATCCAAGAGTGCGGCACCTGTGCAATTTCACATTCCTGCTAAGGAAGACCCCTGTCAGGTTCTGTAGAGTTTAGCAAACCAAATAAGAGATCACATGTGTGACCATGTGACCAGTATACAGTTAAAAAGAATAGGGTGCGTATTGATTTACTTGAGATTTTTTTATTATATTAAACCAGTTTTCTGATGTGGTTTATAGATACAGATATATTTAGGATGGCATTTGCACGTTTTCAGATAAGTAGTAAGTTTTGAAGACCTACGGAAATTGAGCTAGCTGTTTACAACCAAAGTGAAAAGCTATTTTCTATGCATAAAGAATGATCCATTTAAAGGACAAATGCACAGTATATAACTGTTTATTTTGATTCCTAGTTTGCATTTTATCTCATGAAATGAAATAGCTATTTGCACAAAAATCCAGAAACACCGGGATCAGTGAACTGACATACTTTCCATTGACGGTAGTCTTCCTCCTGTTGCTTGTAAAAAAGAAGCAGGAAAGTCCATTTGAGCCCCTGCTGCCTTTAAGCAGACAGCAGATAAACACACACACAATGGTTCCTTCATACTCCTCAGAGATTTAATTAAAGGTGTCCATATGTTGGCTGGGCCAGGTGTGTTTGAGTGTCTATTTAGGTTGATTTTAATGTATATATGAGTGCTGTATTATCTCAGCGCTCTTGTTCTTTCCTAAACTTTGCGCTTAAATCAAACTTTCCTCTAATCAATCGCTTCCAATCAATTCAATCCAGGAGGAAACCTTTTCACTGACACGACGCTGCTCCTTGTGAAATCTCAGAACAAAAGCTGTCTTCATGCTGAGCAGAGATGATTATCAGGCTGACACAGCTTGGGCCACCTGCCAGCACTACACTGTAAAAACGCACATTTCTTCCCCTCTCAGACGCGAGCGCTTAAGGCAGCGTTTAGGCATGTCTCTCTCCATGCCAAGCATCCCCGAACGCTAAAGTCGACCCATTTTTGTCATGCTGTCATGCGTCCGCCTCTGTGATTGGCAGCCTCAAGTGGTTGCAGATGAAAGCGGGCCCCCCATGCTAATGAATAGGCCCCTGATTGCAGAGCCGCTCGCTCGCTGAATTACAGCGTCGGCCGCCTAATGAGCAGATACACTGCAGTGCCCCTCGTCTCCACGTATTCACATTTCTCTCCTTCACGCTGATGAGCGCTCCCCTGCGCAACAGTCAACAAAACCTCTGTGGAAGATTGCAACATGAGCCATCTTCATCAGCACCCTCCTCCTCCTCTAGTTTTTTTCATCAGACTGCCATATGCTGGCAGGGTCTTTTTTTGTGTGTGTTATTTTTCCTGCTTCACTAGATTATATTATTTGATTGCACTGAAGATGTTATACAAAGTAACTGAAAGGCTGATGAACATGATAATAGCTCAGTTCAGTTTAAATGAAGAAGCTAGATGTTTTGTGTTTTTTCTTACTTCAGTGGTCTACAGTCAAATGCATTACAAATAAATGTAGTCAAACTTTGCTAATTTTACAAGAAACTAAAAATGATGCTTAAAATTGCTGGTTGGCTCTGGTTTCATGACATGCACCTAAGTCAGTGAGTCAGTTCTTAATTGAAACCAGAAAAAACTCAAATACATTTTGACCACTGAAATTTGGCCAAAAAATTGCCAGCATAAGTCAAGGTAATTTTCATTTGATCATTCTTCCTTAACTATTTATTCAATTTCAATAAAACTCTATGAAGTATAAAACTGCATTTTCAAATTTCAACATTTATCTCTACTTTTGACCTTTTGACCTCCTCTTTGACCCTGGATCTGACTGGGAAGTTCCATGGTTTTTTTTAAGCATGTTAAAATATCCCACTAATAATAGTTCTCATTGAATGTACAAAACCTGAACCAATGAAACTGTACACTTACTCGCCACTTCATTAGGTACAGTAGTAGTACCTAATACCACAGTAATATGTCTCTTTTCAAGTTCAAACTGAACATCAGAATGGGGATCAAAGGTTATTTATTTAATTTGAACGTGGGATGGTTGTTTATGCAAGGTGGGCAGGTCTGAGTATTTCAGAGTGTGCTGATTAACTGGGATTTTCCTGCACACCCATCTCTAGCTTTTGCAAATAATGGTCTGAAAAAGAGAAAATATCCCATGAGTAGAAGTTGTTTGGGGGAAAATTATGCCAGAGGAGAGAGTGGAAAGGCCTGGCTGCTTTAAACTGATAGGAAGGCACAGTAACTCAAATAACCACTGGTTACATGAACGGTATGCAGAAGTGCATAAACAACACATCAAACCCTGAGGCAGGTGGGCTGCAGCAGCAAAAAAACAAAAAAAACAAGCATACCTAGATCCACTCTTGTCTGCCAAGTACAGAAAACTGAGGCTGCAATATAGTTGCACCAAAACTGAACAATACAAGAAAATCATTGCCTGATCAAATCAGTCTCACTTTCTGCAGTGACATCGTAAGGTCAGTTTTGGCATGAACAATATGAAAGCACGGTATCAGTGGTTAAGGATGCTGGTGGTTTTTCATGCCACACTTTAGGTCTTTTAGTATCAACTAAGCTTGTTTAAATGATTTCCTGACCACGCCTATACCTTTGTAATTAGTGTACCCACTTCTGATGGCTGCTTCCAGCAGGATAACGCATCATATCACAAAGCCCAAATCATCTAAAACTGGTTTCTCATGTCACTGAGTTAATTGTGCTCAACCACCAGAGTCAAACTCAATCGAGTAGAGCACCTTTGGTATGTGGTGGAATGGGAAATTCATATACACCCAACCAAATGCAGCAGCTGTGTGAGGAATCTTTCCAGCACTCTCTTGAATCTGTGGCATGAAGAACTAATGCATTTGAAGGGAACAGGGGGTCCAACATTGTACTAGTAAAGTGTCCCTAATGAAGTTCCCGCTGAGTAAACCAATACTTGGTTGTGGAGACATCCGTGTGCATACATGAAACAGAGTGATGAAACTAACACATCTATTCAGTAATGTTCTGGGTAAAACTGAAACTGACATTTCTCCATGTCAGAGCATCCAAACTTGACAAAACCTCTTGATGTAGCCTGGCAGATCAGGCTCTAAACAAATTCAGTACAGTTTTGTTCAACTGTCTTTTGATTTACTGCTATTTGCTAAGCCTTGTGTATCAGTTTGTAAAAACATGGAAGAAAAATGTACCCAAAGGTTTATTAGGGTCTTCTTTGCTTCTTTGAACCCTTGTCCTTAGTTACACATAAATGCAGATTCTCTGCTTAAGTTGTTCAGTCATGTATCCCTAATATCTTTATTAATGTTTTTTTTTCTGTTCTTCGTGTACTTAGTCATGTAATTATTAACTCAATCCCAGAAGAAGGACATTTTTTCCAGTCATAGTTACTATGAGTAAGGAGTCTTTTTTTCTGATGTCCCTTATTCTGGAAGACAATTATTTTTTCCCACAGAAAGGCTTCTGTGACTCACAGTTGATGTCTATCTACAGCTTGGAGCAGCACGAGACTCTCCCAGTTAAAACATCAGCTAAGCATATTAAAAGATCATTCTGGTGTATTTCAATCAGATGTATTTCCCATTAAGGCTGCTACTTTGGCTCTAAAAGTCATTCTAACTTTGCTTCTCCTTCTCCACCATTCAGATCAGGGGTACTGAGGAGCTGCAAGACAGGGCATCACAGCTTTGAGCTTTCATTATGTTCTTGATTCTTACATGAAGCATTTTTAAAACCTTTGTTTTTAATTTTGACTCAGTATAAGTTAAATTTCTTACTTGCAAACATCTTACAAGACTCTTGACTATGCTGACATAATAAAATCAGACTATATCAACTGCGAATTTAATGTAAATGATGATTCCCAGTGTTCACATCTTACATGATAGGAATCTCCAGGTCCACCACGTCCCAAAGGTGACCAGATTGAGATGTGCTGGAAGGAAACATAAGAAGACTGATACACTGTGGTCATAAAGAGCTGGACATAACAGCAACAACACTCAACTAGGCTGGACAGTTTAAATGATGCTCAATAGGTACCAAGAGG